TACAGTGGTACCTCGGGTTACATACGCTTCAGGTTACATTTGCTTCAGGTTACATTCGCTTCATGTTACAGACTCCGCTAACGCAGAAATAGTGCTTCAGGTTAAGAACTTTGCTTCAGGATGAGAACAGAAATTGTGCTCCGGCGGCACGGCAGCAGCAGAAGGCCCCATTAGCTAAAGTGGTGCTTCAGGTTAAGAACAGTTTCAGGTTAAGAACAGACCTCTGGAACGAATTAAGTACTTAACCCGAGGTGCCACTGTATTTTACTTAACCACTTTAAAAATAAGAATAAGAAACCAAGAAAGGAGAAGAAAGGAGACAAAAGAAAAGAAAGAGAAAAAAAGAAAGAAGGGGAAGTCCTTTATCACATTTATATCATAGATATCATATCATTTATCCAGACACATAAAGATAGACCCTCCCAGCTCCCACCTGGGAGCCTGTTTCTTCTCCCAGTCTCCCACCATGAGAGAACCTTTCTACCCTGCCTTTCCAGTAAGGATCACCTTCCTCCCATCTATCCCCTTCCTGTGTGTGAGTGGGACATCCTTCTGAGAAGACATGTAGGATTGTGTTGCATAGCTGCTATCATGTGTGTGTTTACTTGGTAGTAACATGTAGAGGAGGGCTACACATGTTGGTTGAACAAACAGTTGATGTGAAAACCTTTTCACTGTGTGTGGCTGGGGCAGGGGCATGGCTATTGCATGCAATATCCTTTAGGGCAAGATTGGCCTCAGAATCCACAAAGTATGTTCTTTAAACATGTACGTGTGGAGTCATGTGGACCTTCCTTTTTCACCCAGGTAATTACTTCTGAGTAAGCATGTACTCTTTATTTAAACTAAGTATTAATTCACTCATACCATTAATTCTATTTAAAAAGCAACAACAACAAATTTTTCTTCCTGCTCCTTGGAGCAAAGCTTTTAAATCTCACAGCAAATTTAGAGGGGGGATTGAGGCATTCAATCAATTAACATGATGGGTCTAACCAAAGTTTAAGGGGGAGAGAAAAATAGGCAGATCTGCTTGAATTGACTCTTTAACATGCTTGTGCATCCATCACATTAAGTGTTTGCTCATCACTGAATGACTTAGGAATGGACATGATGTCAAATGGCCTCTACGGACCCTTCATACAAACATGCATGTACAGCACTCAATTACTCACTGTTTACTAACTGAATGGTGATTATTAAATTTAAGCTATAATGGATCTTTGACACAAGACAACTTTTAATAAACACTGTGCTTCTCACTCCCCTGGGAATGAATAACTTTCTCAAATAAAACAGGTTCTTGTTTGCTTTTGCTTTTAATTTGTTTTAAAGGGATTCAGCTTGTTCTAGTTCAAATTGCACTCCCTGTTTTGGACCAGGTCCAAATTTGTGGCCGTTGAGAGTTCTTTGAGACCCAGCTTGCAAATGCACACCCAAGCAGCCTTTGTGCCGGAAGCACCTTTCATGAGCTGCAGCTGGTTCAAGCAGCAGAGCTGGCCCTACCGTTTGGCAGAGTGGGACAGCCACCTCGGGTGGCAGATTCTGAGAGGCATGAATAGGAAGTGGTAGTGGGGTGTTGGCTGATGCAGCAGTGTTTGCCACATGGCCTTCCCTGACTTCCCTAAACTCCCCTGCTGCCTTTGGAAGTGGTCGAGGACACAGTCCTATCACCAGTCTTGAAATAAGATTCCGCTTGCAATCTGATCACCTTCTGTGTGTGGAATTGGTGGAGACACCCTCTTGCCATTTCCTCCAGGCAGCACAGTGCCTTGGGACAGTGCTGTCAACAATAGCCCTTTCTGCAAAACAAAAAACACTCTGGACACATTTGATAGCAGGGTAGAGTGCTGTGATGAATTGTATATGGGGCTGATGGTTTGGAAGCTTCAATTGGTGCAGAATACAACAGCCAGTCTGTTAGCAGGTATGGGTAGAGCCATTTATAACAGTGCTTAGTGATCTGATTAGGTGTATTTCTGGGCATTATTTAAAGGGCTGATCTTGACATAAACAGTCTGGGATTGAATAATCTGAAAGACTGCCTACTTGTAAAAGAACCTGTTCCAGTTCTTAAAATCTTCAGTGGAATCTCTTCCAGGTCTTCCCAAGAACAGGGCCTTCTCTGTGGTGGTGCCCAAATGTGGAACTCCCTCCCAAGAGGCACCAAATAAACCCTACTATCATTTAAGGTCCGAATAAAAAATCTACCCCCCCCATAGATTTAATGGAATGTGACAGATAAATAGCGCTGTTTCAGTGATGGTTTTTGCAGTGCGTGTAAATTCAGTTGTTGAATGTTTGCTTTCTGTTACTATATTGTTATAAAAATGAAAATTAGTGAGCCACCTTGTGGACCATGTGCTTGAAATATTAACTGGCAAGCTAGCTTTCCTTTGCATTGCTTTTCCAATTTTCAGAAAGGAAGGTCTAAGGGTTCATTCATTCATTCAGTAACCTTGGGAAAAGGAGACACATTAATAGACCATTCTATTGTAATGAATGACTTGTCAAGTTCTGGTATGATTCCTTCACTGGTCAGAAATCCACTACCCAGAGGTTTTAGAATCCTTGATTATATAAGAGAACAGCTTTAGGCTTCCTGTCATATCTGTGTCCTCTTTCATTTAATATTCTACTGCTGGCCGGAGTAGTTTTGAAATCATTTGATTAGTAATGACTTTGAGATTTCTTTGCCATACTTGCACTTTCTGTTTTGTACATAAGACCATTAGGAGAGGCAGGTGAGTCCTCCACGTCAAAAAGATAAAGCAAATAAACTGGTTCACTTCTTCCATTCAGTCACTTATTTTCTCTTTTTAATCTCACATAAAGGTAGGAACAAATCAGTCTATTTCTGGTTGGTGTCCTTTCTGCATTTGTTCACCCATAAGTCTGTTTTGCCCCATTTCTATATAAATCTGCAAGATTTTTAAAAAACATCCACACAAAAATGTGCACTGAGAAATTAATTTTCTCTCAGGCGATGCATTTATAAATATGTTTTCTGTCAACATTTCAAAATGTGTGTGGGGATACATTCCAAACATTCATGAAGAAGAAAAATGAGAAAATATTTAAAGATGCAAATTCTATTAGTGTCCATTGTTAATTGTTGCTGTTGTTTGGTGACCAGCAAGTTAATGTGTACTCTATAGAGGAACAAAATGCTGGTGAGCTCCCTGCCTTTTTCTGTCCATCTTTCCATCCATTCATCAGATTTCTTTTTTTGTGGATGCTTCCTTAGTAATTGTTTGTGAGATAACATTCTACTAGTTCCTTATATTCTGTTATTTGGAAAGCCAAGCTACATCTCAACTGTTCAACTGTTAACTCTTATGACTTTCTTGAGAACTTAGTTTGGTAAAGCAAAAGTTTATCGATCCGCCTTGCATCTATATTTATTTAAAATTCTTTTGAACTGGTGGCCACTCTGAAAAAGTTTGCGACTGGAGGTATGTTCATTGTCTCTACAGTGGTAGAAAATACAAAAATTACAGCAGACATTTAATCTAAAACCATAGCCATTATCTAGAAAGCTTGACAGGATGAGAGATCCCCCCCCCCATCATATATCTACAGTTCTTCTATGGACTAAGTAATGAATCTTAATATCATGCTTATCCTCACCGCTTCTGGGAGTTTGATGAAAATCAGGGATATTTCATTGCTTCTGAACAAATTTAAGTTTATTCACAGCCTTACTTAACTGACATAAAATTTAAAAGGAATGCATGATAAAATGTTATAATGATGAGTGACTTCAACTTATACTCACCTTTACAGAGCAAATGTGCATTATTTCAAATTGTGACAGACAAAATCTCTGGAGATTATTAATAATAGTGCCTTAGAAAAGTTAGTTATGAAACCTACAAGGGACAAGAAATGAATTTAATCCTGAATGTGGTGCTGAAGATTTGGTGTGAGAGTTGCTGAAGCAATCAGGAGAGACCACAAATTCAACATATATGTAAGTGGACAGTTTCCCAGAAAGCCCAGCATGGTCAAATTTCATTTCAAAAGAAGAAACTTGTTTTAAGGAGAGTTTAATTAAAAGGAAATTGAAGGAACTGAAGAGTCATCAGGGTCATATGTCTTCAGTACACACAGAGACTATTTTAAATTGTGAGAATAGAGACTCAGACAGGATGTAGACTGCAGATTTAGTCCAAGAGGACTTGAAAAGTCAAGGAAATGATAAAATGCTTGATGGCTTCCTTTTAACAAATGGAAGTGTTAAACAAATAAGGAGAATAAAGATATAGCAAAAGCAGGGAAGTAGCTGAGAAGGTAGTTTGTTACATTATTACAAGGGTGAAAGTTTTGTAAAGGAAACAGTAACTGCAGAGAAGCTAAATGAATCCCTTTTGTCTGTCTCCACTGCAGTTGTTTGACAGGTACTCATGTCTGAACCACTTTTTGTGGGTATGAAGCTGAATTGAGGTGAATATAGTAGAACTAACAGGAAATAAAACTGAAGGATCATGGACAAATTAATTGGCAGAGTCGAGATGGAACGCAGTTGCAAAATAGTCAATCTTTCAACAAAACTATGAAACTTGTAAGTAAAATCAGCCTTCATACTGCATAACTAGTCAACATAATGCAATTTTTTAAAGGGATCGGGCAGGCTGCTGGTGGAGAGAGGGACATCAGCCTTCCAGATGTTTTGATACTACAATTCTCATCATCCCTTACCACTGGTCCTGCTAGCTAGGGATCATGGGAGTTGTAGGCCAAAAACATCTGGAGGGCTGAGTTTGAGGAAGCCTGTGTTAGTCTAATGTCTGGGTAAATTTGTGTTAAACCTTATGAAACCTAACATTAAACATATAGCAAAACAAGCCTTGTCTAGGATGATTCAGCATAGCTGCCTCTCTCACCAACCTTGCCCTTTTAGATTTGAGAGTGTCAAGAAGCCTTTTTTTTTTTTTTTCATCTGTATGCAGTTCAGATTTTATTTTCTGAAGTAGTTCCTTACAGCTAGAACAATAGTCTTAAAGGTCTGGCCGAACTCCAAAACCAGGTCCCTTGGGTGGTTCTGTCAGAGAAGTGAGACCACCAGCTGGCTCACAAGAGAAGCGCCCACTCCTTGGTCCAGGTTTTGGAACTTTTCCAGCTTTTAGTTCATCAATTATGTCTTCTATGTCTTTTGTTGTCAGATCTTCATAATAGTTATCATTTATTTGTACCATTGGTGCATTTACGCAAGCCCCCAAACATTCCACTTCAATCAGAGTGAAGAGTTTATCAGGTGTTGTTTCTCCAACTTTTATACCAAGCTTCTTCTGAATGGCTTCTAATATGCTATCCGAGTCACACAGCATGCAAGGCGTAGTGGTGCAGATCTGAATATGGTATTTCCCAACGGGTTTACGATTATACATTGTATAAAAGGTTGCTACTTCATAAACTCTCATGGGAGGTATGTCTAGAATCTCAGCAACCTTATTCATTGCTGATATAGGTAGCCATCCATGCTGTCTTTGGGCTAGATCCAGGACTGACATCACTGCTCCAGATTTGTGTCCCTCTGGATAGTTGCTTACTATTGCCTCTATTCGCTTATAGTTTTCAGGTGTGAAATCAAATTGAGTATTTGGGTTGTTTTCAGGAGTATCTCTGTGCACAAACAAAGCTCCACCACCACCATTGCGTACAGCTGTTGCATGAAGAGAGCGAATCTGTGCCACCTGCGCTTCCAATTCTCTATCCACAACTTTATCAAGATTTGACAGGATTAGGAGTTTGGTCTAACGCTGTCACTTGCAGTAGTTTGAACGTTCCCAAGACCTGACTTCACGTTACACGCGACAAACGTGTAACGCAACCCTTATGGTCGCTCCTGCTGCAGAACAGCCATTCCAAAAAAAAAGAGGGTGGCATTCAGGAGGTGAAGAAGACGACGGCGGCATTCGTCCTTTCCCATCTACCTGCCTCCCCCCGGTCCGAAGCCCATTCCCTCTCCTCGTATGGTTTATTTTTCTTTTATAAGGCGTATTCCCAGGAAAGCATGGACCGTAAAGCAACCCCGCTCCCGACCAAACCCTCCGCCCAGCCCTTGTCCACCCCTGCCGCCACCTCCCGTCAAGAAGCCTTTTGATGGAATATCCCATGGGTAGGCAAACTAAGGCCCCGGGGCTGGATCCGGCCCAATCGCCTTCTAAATCTGGCCCATGGACGGTCCAGGAATCAGCGTGTTTTTACATGAGTAGAATGTGTCCTTTTATTCGAAATCCATCTCTGGGTTACTTGTGGGGCATAGGAATTTGTTCATACCCACCCCAATATAGTCCAGCCCCCCACAAGGTCTGAGGGACAGTGGACCAGCCCACTGCTGAAAAAGTTTGCTGACCCCTGGAATATCCAATAGGCATATAGTTAATTTTCTAAAAGATATTTACAAAGTTGCTTGGCAAAAGTGCCTAAACAAACTTAACGACTCTGTCATATGGGATCTGTGGTAGGGGTTATCTTATGAATTGGTATCTGGTTGAAGAAAAGAAAGCCAAGAGCAGGTATAAACTGGCAGGTCTCACAATGGATAAAATGAGGTGATAGGGTCCCTAAAGGATCTGTTTTGGTATCTGTGCAGTTTAATTTATTAATCCAGGATCTGGTGTCAGATGTGAATACAGTGGTACCTCGGGTTAAGAACTTAATTAGTTCTGGAGGTCCGTTCTTAACCTGAAACTGTTCTTAACCTGAGGTACCACTTTAGCTAATGGGGTTCTCCTGCTGCTGCCATGCCATGCGATTTCTGTTCTCATCCTGAAGCAAAGTTCTTAACCTGAGGTACTATTTCTGGGTTAGCGGAGTCTGTAACCTGAAGTGTCTGTAACCTGAAGCATCTGTAACCTGAGGTACCAGTGTAGTAAGGTACTGTTAATGACAGTAGATTACCCAGCATGGTGAAAACCCAACCAACCTGTAATCTTTGAAGATCTCTCTAGGCTGGGTGGGTGGGCAACAAAATGGCAAATGACATTCCATGTAAGTAAGCCTAAAAGTGATACAAAAATCCTAACCATGTATTCTTGGTAGAGAGCTAAACTGAAAGTGTCTAACTAGGGAACAGATTATGGTGGGTAGTTCAATGAAAATGTTGGCATAGTGCAACATTAAGCAGATTTGTTTGACTTATTTGCTGGGATTCTGATACTCTCTATCCACTGGGACCCCTTGAGAGAGATGGAAATTATTGAGTCCCACCAATCCTAAAATGATGGTGAGTGGAGGTGGAGTTTGGTGTTATTTATTGTATTCATTGGGGCTTACTGCTCAGTCAATATACTTTTCCTTCTTTCTTTTTGCGTCATTGGGAAGTACTGGTGAAAGTAAGACAAGGAAAGGAACTGAAAATAAAACCGCCAATATGGCACTTAAAAAAATTAATCCATTGCTAAAACTAAGCAGCATTTGAAATACTGTGTACAATTCTGCTTCTCCATCTCTTACAAGAAGGTGCTTTGGAAGTTTATAATCATTGGAACTCAATAGTTAATAACAAGGATAAGGGCCCCTAGACTCAGGGGCTATATGCCTCTCTCCAGACTCATTACCTGGCCCTCAGGATTCTCTCCAGCCCACCCCTATCTCTGAGATCTCAGCAGGCCTGCTTTGTCCTTGAGAGTTTTGGCCTTGCTGGAATGTGCCCCAGAACTCAGTTCCTGTATATTGTTTGCCTAAATGAAGGAAGAACGTGAAGAAACTGATCTACTATACAAAGATAAAATTCACATTTAATGTCCTGGCCACTTTTGCCTCTGGCTTCCAGAAAGTTGCTCAGGAAGCAATGTGGTCCTCAGGCTAAAGAAAGGTTCTCCATCCCTGACTTAGATGAAAGAAGATATAATAAGCACCTTAACAGCACAATCTTATACCGGTCTTCTCAAAATTAAATCCCATTTATTTCAACAGGGCTTATTCCCAGGAAAGTGTTTATAGCCTAATTTATGGAGCTATGATAATAGCCATTAGCTTAGTTTAATATACAAGGGGATTGGACCTATCAGTGACTGTTAGTTATGATGGGGGAAAAGAACATTCAAATTCAGAGATGGTTGGCCACTGAAGGCCAACTGTTGAGGTGCAAACAGTGGGTGTGATTTGCTCTTGGGCTTTCCAGGAGTACCTGGCTGGCCACTGCTGGTGACAGGCTTCTGGATTAGATGGTATCCAGCAAGGTTCTTTTTATAGTCTTTCCCCCTTGTGGCTCCTAAGTCTTGGCTGCAGGAGAATATGGAAAGTTGCAAACTGAAGAACAGTGTTGGCAGATTTAATCCAGAGCGACTCACTGCAGTGAGCAATTCGCTCACTGAAGTACAATAGCAGTCAACCTTGTATTCAAAATGCATTAGCAGAAAGAAGAATGGGAAATAAATGTTGCTGGCCAAGAAATAATATGAGCAAGCTACTTTATATATTAAAAAGTGGGATGTGTAAAACATGCCAGTTTCCGCCCTGATCACTTTGGATCCCAATATACCTCTGACGAACTTTAGGCTGTAATCCTAAACAGAAGTAAAGGGGATTAGGATTGCAGCCTTAGTATACTTTAAGAATCACAGGAGAGATTACGTATCTCTCTGCATATTCACATCTCCCAGCAGAAGCTATCAATTTTGCTCACTTAACTTGCTATTTTAGAAGAGGATGGGATCTCCAATTAGCTAGGCTGAAAATGGGTATTCACTTCCACCCTCGTCTCCTCCTACTGCATTTGTCTAGTTCACAGAAGTTTTAAAAAGCAATTTAATACGAAATAGTCAAAAATGTTTTAAAACACATGGCTAATATAACCTCCTCTGGAACCCCTCCCAAACCCCCACTCACATTAGCCCTCTTCAGGCATTATGATTCTGAGTAAACATGTCAGAGAGGATTGCAGGGAGGGACAAACATTCTTGCATTGTCCCATTACCATTTTTATCACTTTCTGTTTCTAAAATTGGGGTGGGGTGGGGGGATAAGGCCATCATTTGCCACAAGCCTCAATGACTGTGTTCTACCTCCACTGTTGGAGGAATTCTGCTTCTGAATACCGATTGCTGGATAATTTCAAGTAGGGAGAGAGCTGTTTATGCTCAAGTTCTGCTTATGGGTTTCCCATAGGTGTCTGGTTTGTCACTGTGAGATCAGGATGCAAGTTGAGATGCACCTTTGGCCTGATTCAGCAGAGTTCTTCTTACAAAAGGTGAAGGTCTGAATTGGGGAATCTCCTGTACTTATCTCCTAACTTTCCAAGGTTCTGAAATGTGTGGAGAACTTCCATGAATGCAGGAGACTTCTTGATTCATAAGTTTTGCCTCCAGATTGTGGACAGTGATGCAACAAGCAAGGTGGCTGTGCATATATGTGTCCTCTTTTCTGCGTTTGCTCAGAATCAAAACACCTCAAGAGTTATACTGTTTCCATCTGCCCAGATTTGAACTGCCTGCCTCCTGCTAGGCTGAATCTGACACTCAGCACTGCTTCATGATTTTCTTGTTTCCAGTTTGTTTGGATCCATTAAAACAGGTGGCTAGAAAGTACTTAGCAAAATGAAATGCATGTTTGGCCTGACGATGTATGGTTTGGAGGGTGGGGCTGCATGATATTGCAAGCTGGGCCAAAAATGGAAATAACAGTATACAGTGGTACCTCGGGTTACAGGCGCTTCAGTTTACAGATGCTTCAGGTTACAGACTCCGCTAACCTAGAAATAGTACCTCGGGTTAAGAACTTTGCTTCAGGATGAGAACAGGAATCGCACGGCAGCGGGAGACCCTATTAGCTAAAGTGGTACCTCAGGTTAAGAACAGTTTCAGGTTAAGAATGGACCTCCAGAAAGAATTAAGTTCTTAACCAGAGGTATCACTGTATATGCTGCCAATGTTTCTTTTTTAAAAAAAACTCAACAGCAGTGTATTTAAATTAACTCAAGGGAATATGAAATATGTGATGATCAGCAGTGATACACCAAAATCCAAATGAAACTCAAAGTCACTTAAGAAAAACTGAGTGTTGGCCACCATTACTGCAAAAACCAGTTTGCCTGAAGGATGGCTCAACCCAACAGCAAGGTGAAGCTGCTTACTTCAGGGGGTGGTGGGTAGATGAAGGTAGAAGCTATGTCTAAATGGCGTGGAAAGTATTCTTAAAGTGTATTGTGAGGAGTATAATTTGATGCTCCTTTCCAGGCATCCAAAAATGTTGCGGCTTTTGTGCTGAAAATTGTGGTGAATAGTTTGTGAGGGTAGCAGATGGTAAGGAGAGGAATGATGGACGGAGGGAGGACAGGGCAAGATCTCTAAGCAGGAAACAATCCCTAAGAAAGTGGCCAGAGAGCTCTACTTCTGGCCAACTGGACGGCATACTCTGATCCATTCCTGTTTCCTAGTATTTACAGCATAGTGCTCATGTGTTCAGAGGCTGTACTTCCAATAATTTCTTCTTTAAAGGATCATAAAGTCCTCAAATTGCCACATTTTGATCCAAACCTCTATGATAACCTTGTGGCTGCACAAAA